GGGGCGAGCTAATCGATTTGAAATTGGGCCCGTGACGGTCTTCTTTGGCGTACACCTCGTGCTCGTTCAATTTATTTGGTAGGCCCCGACCACCCCCGGCGTTAGTCCGGGGCCTCCGCCGCATTGTTCGTAACGGACATCGAACAACAGTGCCCTCCCCTTCCCCCGCGCTTTTTTTACACGGAGCATCGAAGACGAATCACCGCCGTCACGGTACTCGCGTGTAACCGAAATATCTTTTGTCGCTCGCGAAATTGAAAACGTCCGTAAACTGACGTAAGCGACGTCGACCGCGCAACGCACTTTTTCTCTCTTTGGCCTGTCCCCCTCTCCCCCCTCCTCTCTCTCTCTCTCTCTCTCTCTCTCGGCAAACCGCGTTTTACGAAATTAATCGCAGTTTGTCTTTCCTCCTTTTTTTTTCTCCGAAGTCCGGGAAGGAAGCCGCTCTCACTCTATCTCTCTCTCTCTCTTTTTGTTACGTGGACGCGGGGGCAGAGGAGGGAGAGGTCGCTCCTCGGGTCGACCACAATCGGCCAAATTAGTCGGGTTTCCACGGGGTGTGGCTTGGGTTAGTTACGCTTTAGGTGTCGGGCGGGTTGGAGAAACAATTTGTTTGTTCTGTTAGCGCGGCGCGCCACGCTAATGACACGTTACGTCGGCGACGCGATGTGGAGAGGGACAAAGTAGTAAAGCCCGGAGAGTAATCCGAGTAGCCCTGAGTAGTCGTTCCCGGGAACAAAAATTAATTGCGTTAATCTCGCGTTTTACGAGCGGCCTGGTGCATATCACCGCCGTTTGTACAGATATCGGTGTCCAGCGCACGGCGCTCCGCGTCGGAGACGAGGAGTCGGGAGGAGATGCGCGCGAGCGGTCTGAAATTCTCAGAGATATTTTAAGGATTCCGAGGGCGTCGTAAAACTCCTCGCTCTCCACCGCCGGCAAGAGATCGAACCGTTGCCGAAGAAGAAGAAGAAGAAGAAGAAAGGCGTCCGCGAAAGTGATGGCCGGTCGTTAAAGATCGGTTCTCTCGCGCGCGTGATGCCGCTTTGCCCGGTTGCGAGGACGGACGTGGATGGAGAACGGACGGCTTGTCGCTTACATTTATATCTTGTAATCGGGAGTTTACACACGTGTCACCTCGACCTCGTCAGACGGATCTAACGTCGGTGTCACGCGGCAAAATGACTCGTATTATCATTTACCTCTCACTTAGTTATTTACTTGCGCTCAATCAGCGTAACACAGTTACACGCATAGCGTCATTATCACCTTGCTATGTGTATTTTTTTTTTTTTTTTTACTTATATTGTAAATATGAACGCAAGAAGCAGAGAAGATAACAGTAACAAATAATCAATTTTATTTAATGAATGTATGCTAAGAAGAGTGAACATTTTATTCAAATCAAATCGTTTTATATGTAGAAAGAATAAGATTCTCTTGCGTATGCGATCTAAAATCTTTTACGTATCTTTTTTTTATTTCAAATAAATAGTATTGAGTGTTTGAAACATCAAAATTGAAATTGTGATTTAATTTTTGAATAGCATGACATTGTAAGCAGCCCGAAAATTGACTTGGTGTCGCTAATTCGAATCAACGGTTGATCACGAGAATCAACGGGCATTTAGATCGGGTATTTAGATCGATCGTCATCCACGTACGGGAAACGAGAACCGACTGCGCGTGTTTCGCTACTGTACGTGTAAAGCGGTAACGTTGCGTCGCAGCTGCGTGTTTCCACGGAGGGGTCCCCGTGTCGCGAAAGTTTTTAGCCGGCCTCCTCCAAGTGATGCGTCTACAAGTTTGTACTATGTACGCGAAATTCCGCACGCGGCGGACTTTATTTATACAGAGAACGCAGCCGCGCGCACAATTTGCGTTCGCTCGACGTTAACAATAAATATAGAAACGTAGTCCGAATGCCAGAAGAAAAGGCGGTAACCTACCATTATCGTGTGCTCCGACGTCCTCGCGTCGTAGCGTTTAGTCACGCGAACCTTCGCTCCCTTGCAGACCCCTCGGAAGGACCAGGCGGGACGGAGCGGGAAGGGGGAGGGGAGGGGGCGCAACCGAGGGAAAAAGCGAAAACGACGTACGAAAGTAATAACGCGCGCCAATTAGTTACGACAGAAGTAGGCAAAAACGCGACGCGTTGTTCGTTTTCGTCGCTCGTTTCAGCTTCCTCCCTCGCTGCGCTTCCCTCGCTCGCACCGCCGCGGACGGCGCGCGGGGTGGATGTTAATACATTTCACTTTTCGAGAGCGATTGATTTCCAACGAAATTCGCGAGGATCGAGGAGATCGAGGTGAGAGACGTTCGGCGAGGAAAGAAAGAAAGAAAGAAGGTGGGAAAGAGAGCGACGGGAGAAAAGGAAGAAGCCGGAGAGGAGAGAGGGGGAGAGAAAGAGAGAAGGTGGAAGAGGACGGAGATAACTCGTAGGTTCGGGGCGGAGCGCGTCCCTTCGCCGGAGCACAAAGCGGCCTGAGGTATAAATTGGTTTGTTTGCCGCGGAGATGAAAGGGGCCGCTAAATGCTATCTTTAAGGTGTCGGATCAACGCAAATGTGGCTGAGTTACTCGTAATTATAGGATACTCTCGGAGCTCTCGGACCTCTACGCTCGGAGCTCGTCCGTTCGCTCTCTTGCCGCTCGCTCGGCCGCCTGCCTGCCTGCCTGCCTGCCTGCCTTGCCTGCCTGCCTGCCTGCCTGCCTGTCCGCCTCCCCCTTTCACCCTCTCCGCCTGTTCACCCCGGGCTCGCTAGGCTCGCCTGTCTGGTCTTTCCCCAGGCTGCCTCGTTGTGCCGCGGCTTCGCGCACTGGCGCGCTTCTCGGTGGACCGCTCCAATTCCGCTCACACCGCGCACTCCGAGCACTCACACTGGCTTTCGATTCGCACGATCCGCACCGCGATTAGAGGCCAATTAGAGACGAATCTTCGGCTACTCGTCTTCAATTAGGAGCGCATTTGATGTTTAATGTGTATAAACAGTAGAGCCGTACATGCACTCTTTGCCTACCGTATTACGGAATAATTTAATTTTTAATTTTATAGCTTGTAATACAAATACATTATGCGATTCAAGCGCAACGTTAATAAAACGAGTAAAAGTGAAAATTGATCCTAATCATTCCGGGAGCAGTTCGAACCAGAACGGTCGTTGATAGAGAACGGAAGATAAGACACAAGTCCAATTATTTCTGTATATGTCGCTTCCAAAAGAATGAAGGCAATCCTCTTTATTTTATTATCGGCGTTTCATCAAAGGAACAATAAATCTCGAATGGCTCATCACGGTGATCTCACAAGTTTCCGCATTCTATTTATTAATCGATAAAAACCGAGGGGGTGGCGCAACGTTACTTCTTTATACTACATCTCTTGCAACAGCTCTTTTATTACACGCGATATATTATCTTTATTCCGCTAAAGGTAACAGCGAGAAAACCCTACGCCATTGACGATACTCTTTATCTCACTGTTTCCGACGAGATGCTTCTCTCCACGGAGAAGCTCGAAAGAGACGAGCCGCGCGTACTGTGAGGCTGCGTGGAGAGAGAGTGAGAGAGAGAGAGAGAGAGAGGGAAGAGAGAGAGAGGGGGGGAGAGAAAGAAAGAGCGAAAGCGAGAAGCGCGGCCGACACATATTATAGTACAAAATAATAATTCATAAATTATACGCGCCACGTCCGTTTAGTGCGGTGGCTCTCCGCGGCTTAAGTATACAGCTCACTGCACGCGAACGAGACGCGGACGAGACGAGACGGGGCAAGACGAAACGGGGATGGGACGAAGGTCGGAAAATACGCGCGAGGACTAATCTCGCCTTGCGAGCGCCAGATAACAGTCAATCCGACGGCGGAATCAATTGTATCGGACGATAATCGGAACGACACATCAGCATGCAAGAGCAACGACTTACATGATGCGCGCGCGTGCACGGCGGCTTTCATCCCGTGTAACGCCGTGTAACCGGTAGCGTGCCCGTTGCCCATGTGTAATTTGCATTAATTATCCTCAAACCTCTCCGCACACCGTTTGCCGTGAGCACACACGATGAGGCTCAGAGATACGGAAAACGATGTATCGCGTATGCAAATAAAGAGAAGAGGAGATGAAATACGAGGCGCGAGATGATGACCCGCGCAAAGAAAAGTGAAAATGACGATAGTCGATAAAACAATAAAAATAATGCGCTTCCGATAATTCTGCGAAATATAAATATTTCAGATTGGAATCTTGCGGTAAAATTGTGAATATCTGGATAATTAAGCATTCGAATTATCTGAAATAATTATCATTCAATTGGACATAACTTATTTTATTAATAAGAATTAAATTTTAATAACCTTTCTGCTTTAGCTGTCTGCTGAATCAAGTTTGTAATTTTTTAAAAACGTCAGTAGATTATTCAAGAATAATGCCTCCATTTTTCTTGTTGTTCTTATCGCAATGTTTCTATAATAAACGCTTTTAAAAAATATTACTTTACAAGCGAGAAACAATTTTCGTGTAATGCATTCCAGATATAATTGTTGTAATAATCCTGATATAAAAAAAGATTTAAAAATATGAAGCACTTTAGTAAATTATCTACAAGAATCACAAGAGCACTTAATCATCTACAGTTTTAACGATTATTGTTTTGTATCAAGCGAAAATAATTCGCCATTTGTAAAAATCAATAAAAAAAGTACGTTCTTCGATCTGATGCGAATTAAATATTTTTGCAAGCCTCGCGCATAGCGCAAATGCACGAGAAATTTTCCCTTTCCGAAGCTATACGTTCTTACGTGTATACAAAACATGTTAAACTACGTGTCTGTCTGGATATACGTTAAGGACATAACGTGTATCGATTATCGTTCCAGTGTATATGTTCTTCGCCTCAGATCGTCCATGTTGCTTCAAATATTACGTATATCGTGCACGTTACGTGCCGCCGTAGTAGGAAGGAGAGCAGGAAAAAGAGAGGGAGAGAAAGAGAAGAGGTTAACTCACCCGTGTTGCAGTTCGTTGTAGTCGCGTCGAGTCGAGTTAGGCCGTGAGTGAGACGAGACGAGGCGAGGTGAGGCGAGGCGAGACGAGGCGACTCATCACGCTTGTTTTCCGCCTGCCCGCGATTAGCGAGAGTCATCCTGGGAGGCCCCGTTCGTCTTTCGCACCTTTCGTATCCCTTTTGAAACGGTTTCTTCGCGTCTCCGCGGTGAACGAGGCGGACGGGGCGGTAGAGGCGGCGAACTTTTTGGACGAGATGTCGACGGAAAACTCGCGAACGACCGACGGTTTTACTAACAATAAGATCCGACCGAGACGAGCCACCGCGCATATATTATTCGTTGATTTTGACCTCTCAAGTTCAATTCGAACATTACCACAATTCGGAATGAAGTAATGCGCGATGTAAATCATCGAGAATCAACTTCGGGCCTAATCGTCATAGCGTCGTGTATGTTCGGGAGCTTGAGAATTCACGAATGAAATATTGGCGCGAGACACGGAATCTCTTAGTGGTAAGTAGCTAATAGTAAATTTAATGCAATGAAGGTGGAGATAAAGTGTTGAAAATAATTGTGCGAGATTTTGTCATACAACGATTACTCGGAAAGTATTTTACTTGGGGACTTGATGTTTCTATTCTCTCAGCATAAATAAATAGAAATTAAATACACCGATTTTATACATTTAGCCGAGTAATACGTAACTAGAAATTAGTGTTGAAACAAAAACATTTGAATAATTCGAATGTAATAATTGATTTTTTATCGGTCCAACTTTAATGACGGTATTTGCAAGCATGCAGAATAATGCATTATTTTCATTGCTTGATTCATAGTATAGTTAATTATATATTAATATTTATAGATCTATGCTTTATGTACCTTTGTTTCACATATCATTTAATCTTTATTTGATTCTGAATTAAACGCGCTAATTGCAATTGCTTAATCTAATCAGCAAATTACAATAAAATTAAATGATGGACAGCAGCAAAAGTAATTAGCGGTGAATACACATGCGGTAACGTATAATACACGTGCGACAGAAACGCGTGCACGAAGCTAATCTGCATTGTTTTGCTGTGCGCGCAAATTCATGCGCGTTTCTTGCTTCAGAATCATGAATTCTGCTTCTACTTACTTTTTTGCAGTACTTTTATGTTTGTATGCATAACATGTTTGCATTATATTTATTTTTGAACCCTTTATTGCATGACTATTGTGATTTATGAGAAAAAAAGATCATAATAGATAAGAAAAAACACTAGTATCTACACATTTTGGCCTGAAACGGAAGAAACGTATTTTGTCCAACAATGAAATGCCCGTTTTCTGAACTACAATAGAATGAATATTTAGAAAATGTCAGATTTCGATAATAAAGTGTATTTGACTGAGTTTCCTTTGCTTGTTCACACAACAAACATGGTGCAATAAATAATTAAACAAAAATGTGATTATTGGTTTTTAAATGAATGATTATCGGCTATGCTGTGCTCAGTTTACGATATATTCTAATATGCGAACACACATTGTCCGACGGACATATCCAACCGACGGAGAACGTAAGTCATTGTTTTGATATATATCTTTTCTTGAATCCATTGACAAATGTGCAGCATGTAATTTAACATAATTATACAATGTACTAATTATTTTAAAATTGACAAAAAGTAAAAATTTACGGAATATTATATTTTATTATTTCTTGTGCATCGATTTTTGTAGAAATTGAAAATGCAAATATCTAGGCACAATTTCCGATGTAAATAATTAAATCATAAAAGTAGCGAGAAATTGTATACATGCAGACGCATGTATAATCAGTTAAAGATATAATATCCTTCTACTGAAACTTCGTTTTATGACGTAGTGATACCGCATTTGTGTCACAGTACGTCACAATTTCTCATTATGTAAAACTTTCGGTTTGATATGACTTTAATTTTGATGGGTAGAATGGTCTTTACTTCGCCGGGAAGTTTCTATTTCTCAACTTGATTAGCCTTTCTTCTTGACTCCTTAATTACAAACCGTATTTTTGCGGATCCATCTCGTTGCACGTAAAGCCCATTTTAGACAATCTGTAATTTGCAGTAAAATTTGCGTATTTTCTTCCATACGCATCTCGGAGTCGAATGCAAAAACATATGTGGAGAGAGAAAGATATTTTTATTACATTGATGGTAAATATAATACGAGTTTAATTATACACGCGCGCACATATAATTAAATGTTTTTCCGCCGACTTCTTATTTCCCAATCTATCTCATTACTATTAGATTGCGAGTTTACACACAGAGCAATTTAATAAATACATATTATGAGTTATAATTATTTAATCACTGCATTGATTACAATGATCAATTTCTGATTATCGCTAGTTGTTATTCAGCACATTGGAAATATAAATATTCCTTACGTTCTGTCAGAAGGCATTCTTTCTCGGCACTGAGACGTTATACAAAGTATGTAAAAAGCAAAATTTCGAAATATATATTATAATGATAATATTTTGAATATTATTGTGAATCAAAGAGCATTTAAACAGGTTCCAAAACAACGCACGTACTCGTATTATCTGATTGTATTCGAGTAGCAATCACGCGCGACGGCTCTTGTTCAATTCGTTCGGCATGACTCGAAATCGGTTTGTCTAAAGCTTCTTTTATCACATTCTTCTTGTTCAATGGGTCCTCTATAAATGCCAGAAACGTGTGTTTGCCCGGAGGGCGTTCTCGGCCGAAGACGCTTTGGACGGAGCAACCGTAAAGGTCCTGGGACGCTAATTTATAGCCGACCGCCGCAATACCAGTAATCTAATTAGTTTAATGACCAAAAAATATTTCCCGAATCTTTCTTAATCCGAGACAGGTAGCGCCGGCTGCGTCTAAAATCAGCGACCGCGTTTAATGTAGAAGCTTATCCACGAAGATATGTGCCTCATAAAAGTTTGGCTTCCAAACCAAACAGGCGAAATACGTATCATTTCGAAGATTTGTTAGTTATAATATTTTATTAGAAAAGGAAAGTTCTAGTTAAAGAATCCCTTTGGTAATTAGATAAAATGAAAAATCGTAACGTTGTATAAATTGCAAAATAAATATGTCAACTTTATTCTAAAGAAAAAAATTACCCGAACGAATGAAAGTTGGAGCTTGTCAAATTTGAGAAAATTCTATTTGCATATATCGTCGTCGCAATTATTAATAGTTATTTTCACTTTATTGAATGAACGCAAGAGACGTAAAAATACAGTCGAGCAGATCGTTTTAAAAAGCACACATGATTGCGAGTAAATGTGGTCACGATGTGTCGCGCGACAATAAACTTCGCTACTTTTATTCGTTGTTTCGTTATCGTCATTTAGTCGGCTCGCTCGCACGACTCGCTCTGTTTCGCAAGGCGCTTGCTCGCGTGTCCGAAATTCCGCGCGCACCGCATCGCACGCGAAACCAGATGCGTCATCGCGAAACGGATAATTATGGTCGCAGTCGATAAAGGGTGACCACTTCCTCGGAACCTCCAATCATATTGTCGCCGTGTGTACCGCCATCGACTTGTCAAACAGACCTAATATAATACGCGGTCGCCGCGCGAGAGCGTGTATACGTGTTGGTGCGCGCGTAAAGAAAGCACCGGATGTGCGGAAAGCCGACGTCCTTCCTACCGTTGTCGTCGAAACGGCACGTCGTCGTTTTTGTCGATCCTTTTTGACGTTTGCTTTCAATTCAATTGGCGACATATTACGGCAATATTTCTTTCGGAGTAACGAGCGCATCTGCGAGCCGCGCACCGAGTTTCTTCCGTTTCCCCGCCTCCGAATCAACACGAGACTGTTGGATTCCACCTGGGGACCAAATCGCTCCACTTCTCCGCGTTACAACAACACGTAGATATATGCCGATCGTAATTACCCGAATAATGCGCGTTATAATTATTACCGCTCCGACTAGCCTGTACGCGCGGGAGAGGGTTTGACGTAATTGCGAGGGGTTATTAACCAGGAAACCGTGGTCGCGCGAGCGCGCGTTGCCATTACGATTCTTGCGAAGGGAAGCATAAAAAAAAGAAAGAAAGAAAGAAGCAGAAGAAACTATTACGAGCGCGGAATTGCGTGTGAACGTACCGCTTTGCACCGCGTGGAGAGGTATACAATCGGTTAAATTTGCAGGAGAATCGCAACGCCGGCCAGAGTCCATTTGGTGGGCTTGTCGCGAGTCTTCAAATTAAACGTCCAGATGTATGTGTTGCCGCGTGTTCTAGTCCGATAAACCGGGCACTCGTACATGTTCTTCATCTCCAGCTTGTCCTGCGTGATCGCCTTTACGAACACCACCGGCATCAGCGGCAACAGCTCTTTCAGCCGGGATTCTGCGATCGCACTGGTTGCGACGTCCCATCGCGCGCCCTCCATGTACAGACCGTTGATGAACGCACCCTCGCGCGGCGCCACCCTGATCAGCAAAGTTTGTATTATCACATTTATTCCGAATATTTCTTCAAAGACAGATTAAGTTTCCCGCGAATAAATTTATATCAATTGAAAATTTTAACAATCCTTTTCTTAAAGATTTGCTACGCGAAAAATGGTTTTATATTTGATTTGAATTGTTTATTCGATAGGAGGTGCAATTTTTGAAATTTTGTATATTTGAAAATCCATCCCGAGAGAATTAATTTCGCGTTGTGTCAAATTCCGAGTGTTTCTTACGTAAGTTCCTCCTTCTGCTTTCTGGTTACGTCGCAATGCAGACACATCTTGTCCAGCGGCCACTCATTTTTACGAGCGGTCTGCTGCATGATGGCAGTGAGTAGGGACTGCGGATTGAAGAAACCACCCAGCCATATCGATGATGGCAACTGTCGAAAAGTGCGCGCCATAAGAAGTTGGATTGGCCACGCGTGGAAAGAAAGGAAGTCAAATATCGGCGCAAAGTAGATGGCAAACTCTGATGTTTTTAAATTAAACGTAAAATTTGATTTTCTTTCTCACGTTTGGCTAAAGCATATCGCGCCGATATTCGTGTAATAAAATCTCATTTTCAGTGTATAATATTTTGTTGCAAACTGTATGAGTTTGCTTTTACTTACATTAAAATCTACCGTCCAATTTGACAGCTCTGTTATTCGATTGAGCAGGTCCGCGAACCAACTCGACAATCCAAGAGTGGAAGGACAGGCACGTTTGGTCCAAGACGGCGGTACAGAATCCATAAACAAGTGATTCTGCAAATCCTCCATGTCCGCGCTAATTGTAAGCTCGCCCTAAAACAGACTTTTTAAAATTGTATCACTGTATTTTAAACTTATTTTGGTGCTCACTTTCAAACCAAGATCCAGTTCTTTTAGAGATCTCTTCAGTTCCTTGCAGAGCATGTTCATATGTTCGCATTCTTGGAGAGCGACGACAACGTAAGGTGTGCGATCTTCCACCTAGAGGTGGAAAATCATTAATTTCATTCATCATTATGGATGAATAAACTTTAATGAGAAGAAGTTAACATTGTTGCGTGATGCTATAAAAATAAAGGAGACGAAAATTAAGTTTGCATTTAAAACGCTGGTAAATCAAGTCGAGGACATCAAATTTAATGACTGTTATCACAAAAGGACTAGGGACAATCAGGATAAGTGCGACATTTGCGTTAAATATAACACTGCAATATTTTCCAATGTAATTGGAATATACATACGTAATTTATTGATGACTTCGCGATTAAACGATTCTGCAACGATTGCTAGGTCTATTTAAAAGTTAGCGGAAGATTATTTTAATAACAGTAGTCGGAATATCTAATAAATAGCTTAACATTAACCTTGCTCATCAAGTCTTGAATATTAAACTCCTCGGGAAGCTTGTCCAACAAATCCTCTATAAGAGTCTTCACCTTATCCTCTTTCGATACTCCGGCCGTTGTGTCCGCAACGTCCCGCGGCTGCATTCCCCAAATTGTTTTGAATAAGTTCTCTGCCGTGCTTGTGAGGAAACCTGTGTAATAGAATAAGAAACAAAAATTTACCGCATTGTAACGCGAGCGTAAATCGAGAAGAAAAAATGAGATAAAACTAAAATGACAAATAAAACCAAGCGTTCATCTATTTCTGCAAATTATTTCTCGATAATTAAACAAAGTTTTTAAATATTAAAGTATAAATAAATAATAAGTCTGCACTTTTGAAAACATGAACATAAAATGCATTAGAAATAGTTTTGTCTTATTTTCCTTCAAAAGATCAACGATCAAATTAACCGAAAAATTTTACCGATTTCAGCGTTCGGATGAAGTCCGTAGAGAGCAGGACTTTCCGCCGGTAAATAATATTCCACGTATTGATGATAACCCGCGTAATCACTGCTGGGTGGCACTAGAAAACCTGGAGCTAGATACAGATCACCCTCGACCAATTCCGGCTGGAGATACTCGAAGAGGTATGTCCGACACAATCTTCTGTCCCAATCGTCAGTTATGTGGCCGCCATACATGATTTCCCCGAACAAGTAACGTAGATCTTCCCAAGGTATTTTATTATTGCTCTCGAGGTAATTCAACAATACCGATGCGCTGATAGTCAAGTCGCCGACGTTGAATGGATACGACTGTGAATATTAACGAGACGCTACTTATTGAAAGCTGAATAACATAGATATTCATCAAGAGACACGACAGTATTTATTATGATGTTAATGCATATCATAAGGTTTATTAATTTTTTTTAGAATAAACAACGTTTCAACAACTTTATTATTAAATCAATATACATACAAGATTAAGACTTTAGATGTGTAATTTTATATAATTTTATATAATTCGAACTGTTTCCGTAACGCACGGCACACAAAAGAGTGCAGAATTTTATCGTAAAGTAGATTTAGATTATCTAAAGCAAGGCTTGAGACTCTAGCAATATTTTACAAATTTGCAAAATTCGAAATACTGACCCTGTTCCATCCTTGAGCCCCGAATTTCTTGCGCTCCGCCACAGCAGCGTGATAATAACAGAGAGCGAAGAGAATGGCTTTGAATTCGGTCTCCTTCGTGCAGGATTCTAGCGTTTCTTGGCTAAAGTTATCCAGAGCTTTATGGATATTAGCGCGCATGCCCGTCGGCGGTTCATTGGTGATTTTTATAGCCGACTCCAATATGCCCTTGTGTTTTAATTGTTACGAAAATATAAAGTCGTGTTAAGAAATTTTCGTAAAACCAGAGGAACGTCCAAAAAGTAGTGCAACGCAGGTTTAAGTATTCAGAGTTTTATACAGTTATGTATAACATAAAGAAAATAAAGTTCTTATACGCTAAATTGTAGATAAAAAAAAACGTTGTCGTCAATTGAACGATCCTCGTATCGTATATTTGTGCGATTTGACTTTTACTTGTGGTATAATCGACTGGTGAGGGTCGGGGCTCGGTTCCGCGCTGATATAAAGACGATAATCTTCGTGCGGCTCTTCCGAGAGTTGCTCTATTTTCTTCTCCAGATTCGGCAACCAGTTCTTCACTAAATGAACGTTCTGAAGAATAACCCAGTGACCCTCGTGCGCCGAGAGGTCCATTGCTTCTTCGGCGACGAGTTCTTGACCTTGTCCCAGCGATACATTATGGAAATTTTGCGCGTCGAACGTAAAGCCGAGCCGCTTGCCGAGTTTCTCGACGTCCTAATTGTTAGTTTACTTGTTGTTAGCTGAGGAATATTCTAAGAAATCTTTAGGAAGCGCAAACTTCTGCGCAAATTTTGTCAAGCGCGAGTTTTAATTCTGTGTGTAGTAGATTCGCAAATTAGTAGATTAATTAAGTAGATTCGATTCAAATGAATTTTAGGATTTGTAAGAAGCATGCCTTCAGAGGATCAACTCCTGGAGACAAGATGAAAAACACCGGCGTGCTCGAGCTTGTTTCTTCGTACGACTTTTCGAAGGACTGCGTTCGGAAATGTATGAATTTCGCATCCATCTTCTCTTCCACAAAGCATCTGTGTTTTTTCGTATCGATTAATATTAGAGATTTTTTAATTGGCATTAATTAATTTTCATATCAAAGAACGGTTGCATTTGTATCGTTGGATTACTTGATGAACCACTTGAGCACATTACCGTATAGCGTAAACCATTCGATCCAATCTCACACATCGCATTATACAAAGTCTCTGGAAGGCGGTTTTATTTTTCCATTCTTGAGGAAATTTCTCTCTCTCCGGCGTTTCCGACTCGATAAATTTCTTCCACCTTTTCGCAGCCCCGTCTATGTCGCGATCTAAATTGCGAAAATTCTCCAATCTGCTTAAATATTTGATGCCGCCCCAGTTAACGTTGCTGAGGAAATCCACCGGACTCGTAAGATCCGGCAAATGAGGGAATCGCAAGAGAAAATCCATTTCGATTGAATCTATCTCGTCCGTTTGCAGCAGAATCTAAATCGTAGTAGTGTTTCTTTGTACATTTCACATAATCATGTAATGATTAGCTCGCAAATAATAATAAGATATGTATGGCCTCTTTATAAAGATCTGCGAAATCTAAAATAGCAGAAAAATAAATTTGAAACGTACAAGTCGCATATAACAGAAAGATAGCTTTAAGAAACTTTCTGTGAAAAAAATACAAGAATTATCGTGAAAAAGGTAAATGCCGCAAGTTTTTTTAAGATTCTGTTACGCATTCTGGAATTATATATAAGTATTAAGGCGATTATATATT